TGAATAATGACAATAAATGATTAGTAATATGTACGAGATTTCGACCCAAATTCGGTCGTTCAGTGAAGGTTAAGCTCTATAATTACTTTATGCATTAGTTACCATGACTAATCAATACTATGAAACGAGTAAAAGAAATCGTAGAAACGAATTTGGTGAGGAAGGAGGAAGTTTGTGACAGTAGACTGAATTCTGAACGAAAATATTGACCTTTTATAGTGAAAAAATCGAATCAGTCAAAGATCAGAAAGGTTCGGGGGAAATCGAAATTAATCTCAATTTTCCATTTAGCATTGAATAGCAAGGCATTGTAAAACAGAAAGCATTTCATACAGATTATACAAAAAAGTAAATAATACTGTCACATACAGTTTTTTTATGCAAACTGGGATTAACAAAATATTTTGTGTCACTGGAAGCCTTTCATGAATTGTCACAAACGGTTTTTCTATAGAAACTGGGATTAACAGAATATTTTGTGTCACATTGCATGCATTGTAAAATAGAAAATATTTCATACAGATTATGCAGAAATGTGAATAGTCCTGTCACAAGCAGTTTTTCTATAGAAAATGGGATTAACAGAATATTTCGTGTTAGTGGAAGCTTTCCATTGAATTACATAAATTTGCATTTGTGTCAGAAATAGAAGGATCCAAAAATAAGCCGGACCATCGATTGTCATTATTTTTCATTCAGGGAAGCTTGTAGAATTTACATCATTTTCTATTATTTTTGCCTCGCATTCTTGTGAAGTCTTCCGAACTGCCAGGACGGTGAATTGGAAATTTTTTCCCGGAAATGAAAAACGGTATTCTACTAAGAATTCAAAAGGAATGCCTTTTTAGGAAATGTATGATAATGAAGAGTAAGTAACCTGCGATAAACAGATTCTATCCAACTTTTCAGGAAATAAGGAAGACCGAAATTAAGTCTGTTTTCTATTTTGCATTGAACAACATGCATTGCGAAACGGAAAATATTTCACACAGATTATGTAAAAAAAGTAAATAATACTGTCACAAACAGTTATTCCATAGGAATTGGGAATAACAGAATATTTCTGTCACTGGAAACCTTTCATAGAATTACAAAAACCTTTCATAGAATTATAATTGGATTTGTGTCAGAAATGACATCACGACAAAATTGCTCTATAAAAATTTATTAATTTACTTAAATATCAAAATTTTAAGAACAGCTTTCGCCTCTTGGGAAATTTCATCCGATTGCATTTCATCATCAATATTCCTTTTCCTCTCACTCCTCTTTTGCAGATTTTTCAATTTAATTTAATTTATCGAATGAAATTTGAGGGAAAGCGAAAATTCCTTATTGCTGATTAACGTAAAATAACATTTTATCCATCTACCAGTCATTAAAAATGTCCTAAATTTTCTGCAAATTTTGCTTATTTTTTTTTGAACGAAATTAATCTTTGATTTATACAAGATGATCAATGGCATGTTTTTGCAATTGAGATATTTGTTTGGTAAAGTGAAAAATACATTTGAATAGAATGTAATCTGTTAGACATTTACTTTGCAAAATAATATATTTTTAAAATTTAAGGAAGGGATGAATGGGAAGGAAAAGATTGAATAAAATTTTTTGACAACTTTCCAATCACTAAAAAAATCTTCACTTTCAATTATTTTATTTAAAAGAGTTATTTATTATCGATGATTATTTTCGAGAAAAATTTGCTAAATAAAAAGAAAAATGTTTGAAAACCTTATTGGACAACTCATTGGTATGTCATTGAAGCAAAATATGCTTTTCCAAATTAATTACAGCAAATTTGAACTTAAAATGCTTAATATCCAAAGGTATTACGAATTGGAAGAGCTTACAGTTCCATATATTCCAACAAATCAAACAGATCGAACTTCGATTACAAGAAAGGAAAAAAACATCGACTATCAGATATAGCACGAACAGATGTTTGACCAAAACCGAGAGAAAAGGCGATCAAGGAGCACTTTCTTAATTTGGTTAATTTAACTTAATTAAACTAAATTAACTTAATTAATTAATTAATTAATAAATAATTTAAATAAAACTCTGTGATTTCAATTACTAGTAACTGTAGGAGATAAGGGAAATTGAAGTGAGTTAATAAGCTATAACGAACTGATTGCAAATAATAAAAATAATGGATTTTTTTTCATATCACCTTACAGGGCAATCCCCATGATGTCTGAACATATAAACCACGAGTTAAACCGTCGACGTGGAATACTGCATTACCGAGATGGTGAAATAAACCCGCCATATTTAAGGAATGCTTTGAAAGGCATAGATGAGACGAATTTCACCGGTTTTCAGGCATGTTCCATTCTTTGTTCCTGTCAAGCATAATAATTTACTAAAAATCAGAAAGAACTTATAACAGACGATGATTTGACGACATAATGATCAAATTCGAACTTTAGTACCAAGAACCCTTCGCAGTGCCTTTTTGGAAACCATATGAAGCTATTTTGTTTGGAAGTGAAAAACCGATCAATATAACACCCTCGGAGAACTGTTATTGTGCAATACTGACAGTCACATCTCACGAACATCATCTAGAAATACGCAGAAAATTCGTAACTGGTTAGGAAATTGTAATGAATTTTGGAGATTAAACCACTATTAAACAAACAAATAGTTCTAATTATATGATTTCAGCAGATATGCCATTCCTCCCCAATGAAATAGAAGGAAGTCCAATGAACGGAGTGATTATCCCATACGATTTAAGTTCATCCTCGTACAAGAGATTTTCTTTCTGGCGAGCCGACGATTTGTTAGTCATCTTTTATATAAACAGAAGCAACTTTAATCATTATCAAATTATGCCAAAATCATGCAATGTTGAGATTTAATCGTTTTTGGCGCAAATACTTCAAGGATTTCTATTCCAAACATTGCATCAATAATTAAATATGACAGTCGAATGGTCGTAATATTTAAGTGAAAATGATAATGAAGTGGTACTTGAGTGATAATGAAATCTTTACTTAAATATACTAAGAATTGTAAACAGAAGGCATAATACCACAAACAGTTTAATTAGGGAATGTAATTAGACTTAGAATTGAACCAATATACCAAGAATGTAATTACATTCTG